GTTTGGAAAAACATTGAAGTTCACAGACCGTCGGCCTTTTAAAACGATACAGCGTTCCGCCATTGTTAGACTCTGATGAGTAACTTAAGTGGCATTATTCATCGATTTTCAGTAACGAATCAGACATTTCCATTTCCGTAGCCGCTTTTAAAAACGTGTTGAATTCGTCACGAATGAATGCTGCGTTATTCACAGATTAAGCCAAACCTATCGCGTTGACATCTTTAGGGGAGAAAGAGTCACCTGCCTCAGCCGGCAAAGATGCCGACCCATTCAGGTATGCAACTTCGTAATATCATATTTGCGCATTTCATCTTTGTGCACTTTAACTCTACCTCTGAAAAAAGAGACACTTTTCTGATAGAAATTATATTTTTCAAATCATTTTTCTTGTCTTGTTTTATCCCTTTTTTTTTTTTATTGTTACGTCCTGTTCACCCAAATCTGGAAAAATCTCGCAAAATTTTCGAGACAATGTTAAAAAGATCCTATGCGGATATTTATCTCATATTTATTTTCCTTTCAAGTGAGGGTTTTACTGATCCCAAAATTTGCGAATTTTTCAAACGCGAGAATATAAAATGTTTCTGATGCAATTCCGTGTATACAACTTATCTTGATATAACTTAGAACGAACTTAGTGTATATTTCGGGCACTATAGGTGAACTATTCTATAAAAGACATCTGAATGACATTAAAATCGAATTAGACAACATGTATTTCTTTGATGGAATCACATATTGCAGAGATACGTGTTTTGCATGGTTGACGTGACGTATATGTTTATAAGTTGTTTACATGCCGGTGAAAATGAACATCCCTACACTTGTAGAACCCGTCCTGGACGGCGATGTAGTACAACATTTACCAAAATTGATTCAGATTCATGTTGTAAAGATAGAACGGTGCCACGATTAGATCATTGGAATTCGTGTCCTTTCTACACGCCTACGAGCAAGCATAACTCTAGAATTCTACTTATTTCCAAACTCAGTCATCATAATGGTGACACCTGAGAGTCACCTGTGGATAGATTGATTTCTATAGTGATCAGTGATGAATGACATTTCGGGCTTCATTCAATCATTCATTCATATAAGATTGAGAGATGAATGGATAGATTGATACAGGACTGAATATCCGAGAAATATTATTAGAGAAAACATGCGCCCTTCAGCAGGATTTGAACCTGCTTTCCAATAGCGAGTCGAAAATAGATATATATATATATTAATAAGTAAATGGGGTAGGGTTCTACTCAAATACGAGTGTCTACTAAAATTAACATTTGAAACGTGTTATATAGGAATAAAGTGTCGCTGCCGACACCTGAGTTTGAACATAGATCGCCAGTGAGCAAACACAGGCGATCCCATTATTGAATTAAGTGAATCACGTGACCATAGAGGAAACGCATATATGCAGGATGTAACTGACGACTAACGACCTGCATTTCTCGTCTATACTATTTCTCTATTCAGATCACTATACGGATTACATTTTGAGCAAGTATTATCGAGCAAGTACTACTATTGCGAGTGCTATTCGAAGGCGTCTGATAAAAGCATTGTTCAACGGCGTTACTATAGTTGTATCAGCGATTGCAAAGTCTCTACTACAGCGATCCTTCTGAAAGTGACAACAAGTGTTCGTTGACATCACAAAATATTGTCAGATTGAAAAATAAAATTTCCATTCGTTTCTTTCCAAATTGTTTGTTTACGTTAGGATACCAAACTGAGCAGCTATGTCTATTTCATGTGTCGGAAAAAAGTCGGTGTTGAAAGGAACTATTCAATTTTGCTTGGTCATCGCAGCACTCTGTAGCCGAGAGGTCAAAGTACGTAAGATCTTAAGGAGTGCATGTTCGAATCTTGCGGGAGAGTGCATATATTTCTCTGATAATATTTCTTGAATATTCATCCTGGTAGACGAAATACATAAATATACACTTTATTAAATAAATGGAACGTATACTCCAATAAAAAATGAGAGAGCAAGGACTAGAGATAGGTAGCTGGATAGATACAGATTGGTTCAAAATTTATTTTACCCTAATACTATTTAATAAACGTCATAATATTTGAGATCAAGCAGTTTATATATGATAAAAATATTGTTTTGATTTATGCTATATTTATGACTAAAAGTGCTCAATATCAGGAATAGAACGTGTGTAAATATAAATGTGGACACTGAGATCAACACCGAACGGCGACAATCCGATGAACTGAAGATTTTGTTCAAGCATGAAATTATTATAGACATTAAATTTTTCAAATAAAAATTATCCTTTGTGTATTTGGCGGCTCACGTCTTGATACATTATGCATATTTTCTCGGCCATTTTTTTTAACAGACATTGACACGGAAAATCACTCAATTTCTTCGAATTGCGTTAATCGTAAGCCATTTTAAATAAGTCTAATGTTTCCCTAGTGCTTTCACCAATCTTTCCGCAAGCGATGAAATTAATCCACTGCTCCAAATTCATTTCCCTCTTTTTTTCTGCTAAAAATATCACTTGCACACATAAAACTTCTTCTACTGCTCGTCAACGAATTACTCGCTGGTCTGCCTCTCAAGAATGCAGAATTTGGAAGATTTCAGATGTACTAAAGTACAAAGCTTGCGTTGCCATTCTGGTAATTAAATTGACACAACTTTATACACACACCCACACACATGTATATATATGTGTGTGTGTGTCTATATTTCTGAGATGACGTATTATGTACACTATTTGCGGTCTTCCGGTGGTTGAAATGACGAACTCAACCTTTTATTTCGCTCGCTGGAGTATACTGTTAGGATGACATCCATTATACATGGCACATGGAACTAGAACAGTCTACCCCAGCGGGCGAAATAAAGGATTCAGTTTGACATTCCAACCACCTGAAGAAAGCCGGAGCGAACAACAGCTGAAACGTTGTGATAAATATGGCATCAAAGATGAGGACAATAGTTCGAATAATGTAAACAGTATCTATCTATCTATCTATCTATCTATATATCTAGAGAGAGAGAGAGAGAGAGAGAGAGAGAGAGAGAGAGAGAGAGAGAGTGCTAGATACAAAGAAAGATGAAATATAACAAAAAAATAAACAGACAAAATCATAGCGATTGATTTTTTAGGAATAATTTTAGCAATAGGCGTTTGTAGATATATAACTACATAAGTAAACAAGACAAAATACCATATATATCTAATAAGCCTGTAACAGACCAACGGACATATATATATATATACACATTTTATTCATCCTCTGTTTTTTTAAAGAAACCTTATATTCTTAGGCCCAGCAGTATGTCTGCCAAATAAGCAGCACAAGTTTTCTCTTCTTTTCGTTGTTGGCAAATTGGCAGCACTTTTAAGAGTAAATAAAATCTTTTTGTTTACATATATTTACGAACCTTAAAATAAAAAAAACACCTCAAAACGACGGATAAGCATTCCTTGTAATGTTAGACATATTACTTGATTACTCCTAATTTTCAAACTTTTAAATTTACGTGACAAATCATTGCCAGACACTTTAACATAATTGTTAGATTAATGGAAGATAAAAATATAAAGTATTTATAAACTGTCTGAAATTACCAAAAGTATTTATATACAATCCAAAAAATAGTATTTCTAAAGAGAGTGAATTAAAAACATTTCTATACAAAACGGAAATAAAAAAAAATAATTACTCGATATTTAGAAATAAGTATTTCTCGACAGTCTGAAACGATTGTTAGATAAATAGAAGGTTAAAATAAAACGTCTTTATTGTTAGTTTGAAATAAAATTTATTTCTAGACTGAAATAAAAAATATCGGGTGAATCTGAAATAATCTTCAGATTAATAAACGTTAAAACTAAAGTATATTTGTTGACTGTTTCAAATGAAACTTATTTCTAGGCAGCCCGAAAAAACAAAAAACATTCTAGACATTCTAAAATAATTGTTAACTTAATGGAAGGTGAAAATCAGATGTATTTGGCGATGGGACAAAAGGTATGGTGAGATGGATTCATATCTTTCTATGGGCAATTTGTTAACGTAATTAGAACGTGAGCTGCCTTCATTTAATAAAGAATTGGACTAGCCAATTCCGTGCGAGAAAACATAATTTTTCAACAATAATATTACGTTGGTAGTAGTGCATCTCTCTCTCTCTCTCTCTCTCTCTCTCTATATATATATATATATATATATATATATATATATATATATATGTATATATATATATGTTAAGAAAAACTACCCAAGCAACGCGAGAGTGCCACTAGCATTCAAGGGGTTACAGAGAGTGAGAACAAGAGTAAAGTGGGGTGGGGGGTGAGGACAGGTTATTGAGAAAGACAAAGATCAGGATCAAGGCATCAGAAGATGTCGATTGACATTATATTTAAATTTTTGAAGATTATATTTATCAGGGAAACAAGTTTGAGGAAGGGTAGTCCATGCTCAGTGGGATGCAAGTTTCCCGGAGGTTCCAGCTATGCTAACAAAAAGAAGCCTCCGACAACTCTTTGCTGTGTTATTGTATACGTGTGATCTTTGTGTTCCTGTGTCTTTATGTCAGAATTACAAAGAGGACCTTTCTGAAGACTTCAAACACCATGGGCAACTAATGCTTCGTGGCTTTGACGCAGTATGCTGTGACGAATTTATAAATGTAGCGCTTTTTGATATCGAAGATAGGATTGTTTCTATGGGTGGGAATTCATTGCAAACTTGTGGTCTGCCACAAATTCGCCCAACGTATTGAAATACTCTTTCAACTGGTATAATTCAGGAAACATCCTACGATGCCGACGCTCTTGAATGGTATGTCAGCGAAAACGAGATAATGTTGCTTAAGGATAAACAGTTGGCTTACAATACCCTTTTCGATTGCATTTGCCGTCGGAAAGGTGGTTTGTTCTTCGTGGATGCACCTAGAGGAACAGGTAAATCATCCTTCATGAAGTGTTGCCTACAGATAGGTGTTGTAGGCTTTTCAC